GCCAACCCTCCCCCAGCCCCGCCCGCGGGAAATTGGACCAGGGGCCGAAGGCCCCGCCCGGTCTGGCCAGGCCAGGGAAAATGAGGCAGGGGGGGGTGGCTTGGCCGCAGACGTGGCTGATGGGCTCGCTCTGACATCCTTTCGAGGCTGCAGGGCGCCTGCGCCTGTCGTACCACAGCGACTCGGAGCATGGCGATTCGGATGGAGCAGCCCCCGCCGCGCAGGAGGAGGCGGCAGGATCGGACTCAGGTGTGGTGCTCTCTGGCGAGCTGGTGCAGGTCATGGATGACCTCGGTCAGCCGTCGCAGGACAGCACCAACGACGACATGAAGCTGGCCGAGGAGTTGCAGCAGCAGGAGTGGAAAGAGGCCGTGCAGAGAGTCCTCGGCAGCAGCGCCAGCGGTAGCGCTGGCCCGAGCTCGGGGCCCTGAGGGGGCTCCAGGCTCTCGGCCGCGCCCCCCTGCAGCTCGCAAGCGCGAGCGATCTCTGTCGGCATCCAGCGCAGCGGGCGCTAAGCGCTCGAACCCTTTTCCAGCGTTCTTGAGCAGCGATTCCGAGGGCGATGTGTCCTCGTCCACGCTGCGACGTGCTCGCCGATGCTCGCGCATCATTTGCGAGCGCGCTATGGGGGGAGGGGCGGAAGAGGAGGGAGGAGGAAAGGATGGATGGATGGACAGCGCCTTGAAAGGTCGGGAGGTGACAGCACCAAAAGCATGGGATGAGGACCGGCCTGAATTACTTCGCCCCTGAGGTGCTAGCCTCTTCTTTATCTTTGAGTCTGGCGGCAAGTGCCGCCATTCGCTGCTCGAAAGCGGGGGCCGAGGGGGGGTCCGAGAACGCTCGTGGAATTGAGGGCGCGCAAAACTCGGGCTTACCGTCCGCCTCTGTAGCAACATTGAGCTGGGGCACAGGCAACGCCTTCTCCAGCGAGAAGGTAGAGGAGGGGAAGGCGGTGGCGGAGTAGAGGGAGCGGACAGAAAAAAAGTAGGGAGGGGGGGGTGGAAAGGGGCGGCGCAGAAAGGGGAAGGGGTCGACGGCGAGGAGAGGGAGGCAAATCGGGGCTTCGTTCATCCACCCTTCCCTCCTCCTCGTTCCCCTACCCCTCCCCCGACGGGGGAAGGGGTCACGGAAACGCAGATATATAAAACGTGTGGGGGCGGGGTATGGGGGGGTGGGCATCTCCTACGTGTCATTGCTCCCCCCTCTGTTTCCGCTGCTGTTTAGCGTCGACGTGCGTGCACAATGCCCGCTGAACGGAAACGAACTACTACATGGAAAGATGGTGGTAATGCAGTTCCTGCCTTAGCCGCTTGTGTGAAGTTATCACTTCCAACCTTATGGAAAGAAGGGCTATACCCTTCTTCGGACATGCGCGAGGGGATATACATGCCTTACCTCATGTGGTTATGATCTTCGATTTCAGCGTTTCTCACCCTGGACGCTCGGGGCGGCCATTTCGCTCAACAGGACATGCAAGCTGCTGTCTTACAGGCCGTCGGCGATAGTGTGAAGCAGCTGCAGCACTTTGCTCGCAAGCTGGTCAAGGACCTCTCCAGCACCGTTGCCCTAGTTGCGTACTCCTACAGGGTGATGTTATCGCACTTCCGCTTGCAGTTCGATGCGTACATGACTATAGTTGGCAAAGAGGGCAAAGAGGCCGCGTCAAAACCTTCTAAGCAGCACCCACAGGAGTTTCTCGAACTGTATGCTATCATGGAACAAGTGCACGAACCCGCTCCGCTCAAGGGGGCTAAAAAGAAGAAGATACCCAATTCGTTCCCTGCCCTCCGAGGAGACGATGACTACGACGACGGCGACGACGGCCACACCGATAGCCCGTGCCTCACCATCTCGAGCGAGGACGAGCTCGTAATCGATTACAATATCGAACATGAGACGGTTATCAAAATTACAGCAGACGGACGGGCAACTCCAGCAGCAAATATTCGAAAGCGTAAGAATGGGTTTGCTGTAGCAGTATGGAAGGACAACACAGAGTACGAGACCTTGCGGCCGAACGCGGATGTTATGGATAATGGGGTTCTTCGGAAAAATGGGTGCCCTGGGTCACGAATTAACGGGTGGGCTTTCGGGCCATCGGCCGAACGAGATTAGGGTATGGGCAGGGGCTGCATGGGTAGGGCCCCCCCGATGCATCGAACCTCTCCGCTCTCCTTTCCCTCTCTGCTCACCCTCCTCCTCCCCCTCCTCCCACCCCTCCTCCTCATCTTGTCCTCCTCCTCCTCCTCCTGTTTCCTTGTCGCCCCTCCTTCTCCCGCTCCTGCCCTCCTCCTTCTCCTCCTCTTCCTCCAGCTCCCCTCGCGTCACCATCATGTTCGCTCATGCGTGGATTTTCGATGCCCTGTTTAGGCAGCCGCTACCGCCGATTCCCCCAGCTCGCAAGCGACCTGCAGGAGCAATCGAGGAGTCTGGTGCAGAAGAAGAAGTACTGAAACGCCCAGCTGCAGCGGCATTGCTTGCGGAGGATGTAATTTTGAAGCGCCCAGCTGCTGCTGTTAGCCCAGCGCTGAAGCGCCCAGCTGCCGCTTGCGTTGTCAAGCCTGCCCTCTGCGACAGCACCGTGCTCATACAGCTAGTGAAGAGTGCCATGGGGCTCCTGGAGAGGACGCAGCCACGCACGCAGCTGCGCCCGTTGTGAGTGGGTCTTGCATATCGGTGAGGCGCACTCTTGGCCATGGCGGCCAGAACCAAACGCTAGTCATCAAAACTAAAGGTACCGACAAGGCTCAGATATTAGCAGTTTCTGCCAAAGAGACACCGAACCCAATCAATGTGTGCGAGGCAGTAATTAAGGATTTGGAGCCAGAGTTAGCCCCCTTCAAGGGGCCAGTCAAAGACTTGGTGAGAAGATTAGAGCACGGGCTCGCGAGCTCAAAGCCAAGTACTTATAGTGAACTGTTTGATCAGATGCTGTATCTGAGTTGCGGTCGCAGCCACTGCAAAATGAACGCCCTGGTCTGCCGTGATCGTCACGTGGCCCCCCTTCTCACCCCATCATCATTCATCTTGCCTCCATCCAATGTCTTTCTTCCTCCCTCCGTCCTCCTTCCTCCTCCGATGCCTCCCCTCGAGTCGCACTGATCGCACCTCGCTTCTGTCGGCGGCGCCTCTGGGGCGGGCGTCGGCACGGTCGGAGAAGGAGTCGAGAATTGGCGCCTGCCCGCGGGGAGCGTTCGGCTCCGGCTCGGGCGCCAGCGGGGACCTCCGGAATCCAGCTGGGCCCGATTTGGCCCCGCCAGTTTTTTTTCTGTCATTTTTCTGTCATTTTCTGTCAGATTTCTGTTGTTGATTTTCTGTCATTTTTCTGTCGAGCACGAAACCTTGTAAAAACACATGGAAAACGCTGATTTTCGAGAAACGTGTTCGACAGAAAAATGACAGATGACAGAACAATGACAGAAACATGACAGAAGCATTCTGTCCGTCTGGGTCGCCTGGGGCCCCCCCAGCCAGAGAAATGTCAGAAAAATGACAGAAACGACAGAAAAAATACAGAAATGACAGAAACCAGAACATACGACTAACAGAGAAATGACAGAGACATGTCAGAAGTGTCAGCCTCGTCGCTACGGCTTGATTCATTTTGAAATCCTCGTCGCTGCGACTAGAGCCGTCCTCTTGCCCTCGCACGGGCACCGAATGGATACATATGACATATTACAACCAACAAAAAGAAAAACAGAAATTGACAGTGACAAGGAACAAGCAACACATAACAAGTAACAGAACAGCAAAGTCCTCCCCGTATCCCACCGCAGCAGTCTCTGCTTCAAACATCAGCGGCATTCACTTTCTCGCTTTCAACTTCGAGTTGAAATGGTTTGCAAGCGCAAGCCTTCAGGCTGCCACATGGTTTCCCCTCCGAACAAGGAGGCGCGCTATCTCTCGCCC